CGGGCACACGTTTCTCCGGCATGCCCGTACCATCCGGCTAGGGCATACAGGTGCCTTTCGCCACCTTGGTGGGGTCGCAATCTATCCAATTTGCTTTCCGTTTTTGGTTACGGACAACCTTCGCTGAATATAGCCCCAACGATAGGCTGGTCAGAACGTGGGACCACCAGACATTCCTTCCCGTTAACGGGCGGGATTTTCTAAGTGGGATCGCACGATCCGCCGCGGTGGTGATAGCCCGGTTTATGCCCATGGCCGTTGACTCAGTGCATCCATCCTGGATACCACCKATCTCGCCTAGTAGCGTGGTACTAAAAAGATCCCAATTGGCCTTCTTTAGTTGGTATCGCTTCACGACAGACGCGGGTTTTGCAATTATTGCGACAGTCAGGGTAAAACCTAATACTCGGTGGTCGCTGTCTGTCAAGTCGCTGACGGACCAGTCTCTAATCGTGGGACTTATGTTATCTGTGGAGTGACGTCGATGTTCGACGTTCGATTGTCCCGCCGACAAAACGTATTTGGTTGCCCGGCCGTATTGTGGATTTTAAGACCATGTTTGTCAATGAGTTGCTCAACTAGCCTGCCACGGCGGTTTCGGGACGTCGAATGCCATCTGGGCGAGTGGCCATTTGTGTCTGCGGCGATTATGACCCTTGTCTCTGTGGCCAGGATCTGGTCCAGGGTTTCGAGGTGAGTTACCGTAGGCACGTTGTACTTGAAGTACGACGATACCAGCACTACGTGATCGCGGGGACTGTTGCCGTAAGTTACCTTAACCACAGCTGAGTGGCTAGAGGAAAATTTTCATAGACTTATGCACTGGAAGCGATCATTTAGGACGATGATCGCGGAGCTGGACTTTTTGCTAGTGTAATTTTTACAGCCTTCGAACCCGTATACTATTCCTTTGGTCACTAGTGGTTCTTGGATCAAGACAAAGTCTGTTTTCAGATCCCTGCACGCCGCTCTCAATTGATGGCTGGCCGTGCGATCCCGGTTCAGGTTGTGCTGGATTAGACTTATTTCGCAGCTCATGGGGAGTCTGAAGCAAGTGCTTGGGTACCGAAGTCAGTGCGACGGATAAGGAGCCTTGTCGCCGTCGTTCTCGCCGGGCACTTAGCGGAAGACGCATTATGCGTGGTGCTTCGGCAGTTGGGGCATCTCTTTGCCAGCGATTTGCACGTTCTGGAGTCGTGCTTCTCCGAGCAGTGTTTACATATGGGCTGAGTTGTGTTACATTTAGCCGCTGTGTGACCGAAACCTTGGCAGTTGTAACACTGGGTGACAGAGTCGTAGAACTTCATTCTGCACTTCGTCATGCCCAAGAAGGCCGACTTATGCTCGATTTTTGACAGAGTTTCCGGGGCGACCTCGACCACCCAGTGGACAACGTGCCCTTCACGTGGACCAAGCATGAATAGCGGCTTAATGTGTGGCAGTTCGGATTCTCCAATTCCGAGATCATTGTTCTGGCTAAGAGCCCACGGTATCGTCTCTCGCTCCAGATATCTGTCGACAAACTTAATTATTACTCTGGGCTTACGGGGAGCTCTCTCAATTAAGTTTGAGGTCCTGCGCAGAGCAGCTGCCGTCTCGGCGTCCTCAGGGAATAAGATTATTCCACCATTTTTGGATTTAACCGTCCTGACTTTGGGGTTGGGGATCTTTTGTTCGATTGATGTCCTTAGGTCCTTCCAGCCTTCGTCACCGGTAATCACTTCGAATCTTGGGCCTGCCCTAGCGGATCTGGCCCTGGCCTGCATCTTTGCCTCTGCCTTCTGTTTACCAGCGAGCTTTTTGGTTTCGGGTTTCCTGTTAACAGGGGTGTCATTTTTACGGGCTCTTTTTGCGGGCTCTTGGGCTTTTGGCGTCTTCAGCCTAGGGAAGTCCTCCCTCTTTTTCTTTGTTTTTGCTGTGGCGGCAGCATAGGTGTTCTCAGACGGGCTCACGACCATTATGCAGTCATCGTCCAAATCGATAAAGTCTACCGGTGGGAGGATAAGCCCGTGCGGCGTGGCCAACGGATTCGGAACAGAACTAACGGACGTACGGAGGGCAGCTAATTCCGCTGTAGCGTTGTCCCTTTCAGTGTTGCTCTGGCTGAGCCGTTCTTTCAGCGCACCCATGTCGCTGTGAAGGTCTTTTACGTGCTCCTGAAGCGAGTTGAGCTCATCACGCTGTTCCTCCCATTTGCCAAGGATCTTGAAGCTGGCCCTGCCAAGGCGATTATTGCTTATTAAGATCTCATCCAGCTGGTGGCTCAGGAGGTCGGTCCAGCGTCTGCCAATTTTGGATTCTTTAAGCATGTCCTCGAGAATGGTCTTAGTACCCGAGATGAGCGATCCTACCTCGTCGGCATACTTTTCAATCTCCATATTTTGTGGGGAGTTATGATCTGGGCTATATCATCCTCAACGAGCCTTTTGCGCTTAATCAGGTTCGTGGCAGTCTTGTCTCTGAACGACGGGGTGTTATATGAGCTACCCGCTTCGGTGCCGTCTTCACCGCCGCCTCCACCTTTGAGGCGCAAAATCCGTCTAGCTGACAATACGTAGCCAGCGCCGTCAATTATCGTCAAGTTTTTGTCCCGTAATGTCTCAAAATCGCCCGAAGGCACGTCAGTTAATTTTCTGTCCGAAGACACGTCAGCCAGGCTGCACGGCTCTGGCCGGTCGACGATTACTGTTGGACCCCCCCAAAATCCGTGGGTCCATGCCTCCGCAGAGGATGAATTTGCCGGATTGACCGGATTATCACTTGGGGTAATTAAGTTTTGAGCAGTAATCATCTTTGGTTTGTGGGTGACCTTCCCTGCGTTTAAACCTACCGCCAGGTTAGCCCTGCACCCTCTGGCGTACGTCGGGCTAAGCGTACGTTGCATCCGTATCTGCCTGATCGGAATTTAATCGTCATCATGAGTCCTGGCGCCTATGACCGGAGTTGCCAACCTCCGGAAGCTCTTCTCCACGCAAGACCGCACACGGTTAAGTGCACGGCCGAGCTTGACCGCCCGAAAACTGGTTAAGGTCCCAGGGCGATCGCCCCAGTTAAGGGTTAGCGCAAGTGCGCAAGTTCGCAACGGCCCTCCGACCCTGAGGCCGGGTTACGCCCGCGACGCCTGCCAGCCGAACGACACTGCAGGACGACTGGTTTCTTTCGCGGGTTGCTCCCAGCCCGAGGTATAGGCTCGCCGCTCGCGAGCGCACGACTTGGCGCCACGTAACAACTCACGCGACGCCTGGGGCCCGTCACAACTGGTTTAACGGGCCCGTTTTGAAGGTCTCTTAGCGACCGCCCCGAAGGACGGCCGGGCGGGGTCACCACGACAAGGTGGACCTTCCTAGACCCCGGGTAGATAGGGACAGACATAACCAACTTTGTGACGGGGAGAAACGAGGCTCTGACCCCGGTGGCTGTGTTTCAAGCCCTTATCCGTCTTACGCGGGCGAACTCTCTCCTCGCCTTCGTGACACGGGCTCATCCCTCCGGCGAGTTTTATGCGCGGGCGCCCGGGCGCCAGTCACGAGAATAATAGGGACACGAGGTTTCCCGGGTTTGGTGCCTTTGCGGCTACAACCACGGACCTCACATTAGCGCTGTGCGCTAGTCGAGAGCCATGGAGGTCCACGGTCGACGAACGGCGGTGTTACCCCCCGGCCGCCGGCCGCACGTCGTCTATGGACCACGAGCACCGGGCGCACACCCGTTCCCACCGAAGTCGGGAGAGTGCGCCCGTACCGTTGGCTAAGGCGTGCACGTGCCCGTCGCCACCCTGGTCGGGCCGCGAGCTATCCTCATCGCTTCCCGTTTTTGGTCACGGGCAACCTCCGGTGCATATAGCCCCACTGGTAGGCTGGGTAGGCGCTAAGGAGTAATCTCACTCGGCAACTTTCCCCTAGACCAAGCTAGGTCTTTCACCACAAGGTTAGCTCCTGCTAACAGCCACTCCGAAACCAATCCGCCACCGACCGCGCAGCGACCGAAGCCGCAACGCGACCGGCGTGTGGGGGCACGACGCCAATTCCCTCAGCGCCGCGGGGCCCCCGCACATCCCGAAGTACCATTCTCGCTCCGCGTAGGGTCAGCACATCAATGGTTGGATGGTGG